AGAGAAAGTTGAGAGACGCAAGACCCAACACTCTGGATGAGCTTAAGACCGCTATCGAAGCATCTTGGGCCTCCATAACACCTCAGCAGTGCCACAGGCTGATTGCCTCCATGCCACGCCACATTGAAGCAGTCATTCATGCAAAAGGATTCCCGACCAAGTATTGAGTGCATAACTGAACATGATTATTTGAAGGTTGGTGTTTTTTGTATTAAAAACACTTGTCTTTCATTGGTGGGATGAAATATGCTAATTTTTTGGGACAAGCATTTTGGGTTTTCATGAGCTGTATGCCATAATCATCAGTATTAAAACAATTAAAGACCTGAAATATTTCAGTTGGTGTGCAATGAATCTGAAATATATGAAAGTTTCATTTTTATCATTACATTATGGAAAATAATGACCTTTATCACAATATGCTAATTTTTTGAGAAGGACCTGTAGTAGATTAAAAGTTAATTACTAATAACATTAAGATTTGGTCCTAAAGCTCAGTTTTTACACCAGTTTGTCCCTTTGACACATATAATATTATCCCAAATGTCCCTGCCTTTTCTTGTTGTTGGGTAACGAAGCTGGCAGGACCTGTTTCCTGGAAGCTGTCATGTTATGTTTTGGGGACCAGCATCTGTTCAGTAGGAATGTGGGGTTTTAAGTTCCATCTATTCTACCGCCCACAATTATGATGTAACGTGATCCTACTTGTATAATATATTTACATATTATAAAATAGTTAATTGGTAAAAACTATGTGCCTTAACAAGAGTCAAAGATCATTCTTGGCTTTACTTTACCACCTGCTCCCAGACCAACAGAGTATGTACCAGTAATAAGGTACTCATTTGTATGGTAGTAGGTAAAATCCCAGTTGTGTGTGTTTCCTGTGGTTGTTACACTGGTATTATTTTTTAGTGCAACTGAAACACCTCTGGTCTCTGAGCTAGATAGTTTGGCTGCAGCTGTTGGTTATAAGAGAAGGAACTGTAGTGAGCTTGTTTAGGAGTACACAGCAAATTAACATATACACGTATGTACCTGTACATAACTGAAGACCTGGAAAAGTACATTTTCTGGTCTTCTAGTCTCATTGAAACTTCTAAATCAAGGTGTTTTGGTTAACTTTTCAAAGTATTACAGAGCTCAACAGGTGTGAGCAGAATGATTCATGCTTTTTGTGGAGGGTGCCAGTGAAGCTGTTAACTCAGATTTAGCTCTGACTCTGGGGTCATGGCTACATGTCTTTGATGCAGACTTCTTCAACGCGTCAATGTTTAAACCTTTTTGCGGGCCAGGGTCAAATTGTTAAGCCAAGGAAGCTTCCAAAATTAAAGCTCACATTAAAGTCTGCACTCAATTGCAAGGTCACTTCATTTAAGTAAGAGCCAGCTTCACTTACTTATAGCAGAACGTATCGTTCCAGTGCCTGCATGTGGAAATAAATACTGCTTCTCGTGAACATCACAGACACTAATCTTGGTTCTGATGCCAACCGGGTTAATATTATTGAAATCCAATTTAACCTGTGATTTGGAGACTTTTATGCCACCGCGGTTCCATGATGGAAAAAATAATTCTTTGTAGTTTTTAAAAATAGTTTTCCAAGTTTTGAAGCATTTCTTGAATGTGTTGTGTAAGCCCTGTACTTATCTCGTTCTTGAAAAAATGACAGCAGTCTATTCCACAGGATGACAATGACAGCACTTCAAACGAAGGGATCTTTGTATCCAAGATTGTTGAGAAAGGTCCAGCAGACAAGGAGGGAGGACTTCAAATTCATGACAGAGTAATGAAGGTATGTGACCAACACTGGAGTGCTTGATGTGAGGGTGAAGTACTGCGTTTGATGTACTGTAAGTGTCTGTCACAAATGTGTCACTGGTCTTTTGAGCTCAAGCTAAGGGCAACAGATGTGACACATGAGACGATGATTTGCATTTTGTGGTATTATTTTGTTTCCAGAAAATAAATCCTGCAGACAGCTTATGTTTGAACATATACTTGTACAAACCAACAGCTAGTCAAAAGCCTTGTTAAGTGGTGGCATCGCCGGAGATGGGCTAAGATAAACCTGAGGCGAGGATTTCTGTTTTTGGTTTCACTAAGTGAGAGAGCCTTGTGTTTGCTTCCTACCCTTCAAATCGCTTACGACTGAGCTGCTGTGTTGCATCCTTCTTTTGCCTTTAAACAGAATCTTGTGTGGAAAGGCCAACTCACCCCGAGGTCAACTTGAAGGATGATTTGAACAACTCCACATCACAAAGGCTGCTTTTAGAGCACAACTGCAATTCTACACAATGCCGGCATTGAAATGAGGGGTTTATGTGGATTACAAGTGTGTAGTACCGCATGCCGCAAGATGACAAATATGGTTTGTCGCAGGCTTTATTGTCAAACCTCAGTGATTTTGTCCCAGAGCGTTGTGAACTGTGCATTGCATAGACGTTTGTGGAGAATGTTTACAAGGAAAGAGAACATCTGGACTGCATTGTTCACTTTTGTCCTGTTGTTCATCCAGTTGAATTACATGCAAGAAAATGCCACAGTTTCTCTGGCTCAGGCCGCATGCCACGAATAACGTGTCTGAACATTTAGCAACACTGTAATAGATTATTTGTTTATCGTTGGTAATAACGCAATCAAGTTTCTTACATCTACAAGTAGTCTGTTTGCCAATGCAAGCTGATAATAGATGAGTTCTTATGTCAATAGTTTATTTTTATATCCAGTTTTATGGTCTTATTTTGATCTTGTTCTTGTCTGTACGTTAGTACAGGCTTATAGCCCAGATGTTGCAGTATTTAGTAGCTTAAAGGCATCTTGTGTAAAATTCAATGCTGAGATAACCATTTACTCCTTTATTGGTACAAGCAGAAAACACAGATTTTTGATGTAAGATGATGCTGCATTTGCATTTGTCTTGCTTTCCGATCTATTGTTGGCAAAGTCACAAAACCTCTCGGGTGGATGAGACCTCCATTGTATGTGAGAGTGTGAAGAGCCTGAGGAGGTAGCAAAACACCGGGTTAAGTGTTCGTTTTCTTTCAGGAGGTTAGGGGTTATTAAAAATCCCAACAAAATAAATCATGTATCCATTGAAATGGAAAATACACAGAAAGCTCAGAGCTGATACACCACATTGGTTCTTTTCATTGGTGGGTGAAACCTGATAGTAGAAAAGGTTCATATTTCTGAAACTTCTTGTTTGTTGACTGTTTAAAGCAGAAAAGTTCCACGTTATTGGTTTTCAGACCTTTGTTATAAATGCAATGCCATAACTCCGTGTGCAGTTATGTACAAAGTAGGTTGCAGCTTTAACCCCAGGTGGTTGTGTCTCAGGAGTTTGTGGTTTGCAGATCTCAATCAAAGGAAATGAATACCAAACACCTAAAGGTAGTTTCTTGTTCATGTTTTGAATGACTTTTATGTATGTGAATGTTTCTGTAAAGTGCCCTGAGACAACTTTGTTGTAATTTGGCGCTATATAAATAAACTGAATTGAAAGTGAATTGAATTGAATTGAAATTGAAAGTTGTAGATGGAAACTGACAGCCTGTAACTGTGTTTTTAGTATTCTATGTAGGACATGGCACATTAAAATGCAGAGGCCTTTAGACCTGGTTTTGAGTCATCTCACAGAAAGTATGTATTCTTAGGCACCAAACAGTGTAGCATTCAATAACAGTTGCACATTGTATTTATGCTCAGTGAATCAGTATTCAGAGAGAAGATATACATGTCAGATCCAGAAACATCCGTGAGTTGAGTTCGCATTTCATTTTTGGTGCCGGTGTAGATTCTCAGTCATCCAGGACATGGTAATCCAAGCAAGTTAGGCTTTTCTTAATCTGAATTGAGAAAGTCTCAGATCGGAGGTAAAGTATCTCCAAGAATAAAAAACCTCAGTTGCATTCAACTCAGCTTGGAAGGACTTACTGTATTTGTGGTGCTACCTTGCTACAGTATAAATATTTCTTAAAAATTAAACAGGACACAGTCTTTTGCTTGTTATTAGGTTTACATCACTAAACTGTTCATATACAACCAAATTTGCTGCATTGACATCATTGTTCAGGTGGGTATTTTGTCATAGCAATCTTAGTTTATATTTGAGACACACAAATGACTAGATTTAGATCAAACTGAGTATTAGAGAAGAAAAATACATTGTTTAGAGCACTATATGCACCATAATCGTTAAATGATTTATTTTAAAGATCCACAGACTTGCTAGTTCAGTAGCACACTGATCAGATGGTACGAAACTAGCCAATGACAATATAATGAGGTGTGAACACTTTTGAACTGACTTGGTATTTAACGGTAAACAAAATAAACTTTTTATACCAGTCTCTATTTCTGACAATTGGTGGCAATCTTTGGAGACGGGTAGTATTTTGTCTTAAACTTCTTAATTATACTGTATCTACATTTGAAGTATAGGTTGTATTTACAGTTAGCAATCATTTTCATTATTCCTTGGTTTTGTGGTGGTTAATTTTTATTTTTTTTCCACCCTGCTGTATTCCAGTAGCTTAAAAATAGTTTGAGGACATTGTGATGCTTTGTCACCTCATAATGTTGTTTCTATATCTGTTGGACACTGAAGTGTTGGTTTTCATTTGGGGTTATGTTTGAAACTACCCTTGCAAGAATTTAAGCGCATGTTTCATTTTTTATAAGCTCTTCCATCTGGTTCTAAATTGTCTACTATAGTCATGAACAATTTGATTTTTCTCTGGTGGTAAACATCTGCTGTCTACAACTACAAACGAGGCTGCTAAAAGCCAGGGAGCAGCCGAAGAAATAAAACGGTGCCAAAAAGGTTATAACGCCCCATGATGATATTTTAGTTGTAAGTTTAACACATGACCCCTTTCATCTTACACTGAGATTTGGTCCATTTTTAGAAACAGAAATATTGATTATTAAGCTTAAAACTATAGCAGCAGACAGGGTTTTCAGTTCAGCTTCACCATCAGCTTTTTCCAATAAAATCTACTTTACACATACAAAAGTTAACACCTTTGACACCAATCCAAGGCTTGGCAGAACCCTGTTATAGGGATCAAGTGTTGTGTGAAAGGACACCCACGATACATGGATCAGTGGATTGTTCATTCACCTGAGGAGGCAGACAACCACAGCTCTGTCAACAGCCTCAGTTCTGTTTTTTCTTCTTGTAGTCGAGGCGTTATTTCCAGTAAGTCTATATGGATCTAACATGGACGTGATGATCCACGGCTTGTCCTTCTATAACAGGCTCTCAGTGGGGGGAGTACGATGGCAGATGGCCGTTCTCTTACTGAGCTAAATGCTGGTATGAATCAGGACATGACTACCTCATTGTTCAGATGGACATTTTTCCTTGTAAAACCTTGAGCTGTGTTTGCTTTCTCTCCCCTCGACATGCTAATGAAAAGAAAATCATAGCACTCTGGTCAGGATTTGCCAATGTTTACTCCACAGTTTCATAACTTGGTTGTGATTCAGCTTTGAATGAACCTGGTTTTATTTCCATCTATTAGCCTAGCCCTAACCATCTGTGAGCTACGCTAATTAAACATCACAATGTTGTTTTTAAACTTTTTTTTTTTACTCTGAGGAATCCCAGAATTCTGAAGTGTTTCTTCCTTGTTGTTCAAGCCAACTTGTGTGAGATGCTTCAGTTAATATCTTCCACTTGGGGGCCGAGATAGGGTAGAGGCAGGGCAGCCAACTCAGGCCCCATAAGTCCCAGGCTCAATACCCAGCCATTCCCACATGCTGTGGTGCCTCTGAGCAAGGCACCCAATCCCCAATTGCTCCCGGGCGCTCACATAGCTGCCCATCCCTCCACCTGGGTGCATCCCAGGTGCAATGGGTCAAATACAGAGAACCAATTTTGTCATTGTATGGAAACATACAATGATGGCAACACATAGCACTTTATTTATTTATTATTACTTACCGGTATTCATTTATATTCTATACTCCCTTTTTACTGAGCAGAGTCATGGGGATCTGGTGTCTCTCCAGCAATCAAGAGGTGGCTTACTACCTGGACAGGTTGCCAGTCCATCACACTCGGTCAACATCACTGTCCAGAATACATTTTCCTGAGCTCTAAAAATGAAAGGGATTGTCTCTATAAGGCCTTCTAAGTGCAAATATGGGACAAGAACAAAGATGCCCGGGCTGCTGTTGTAAACTTCGTCTTGTAAATCTTTAGCAAACATTCTTGGGTAACAGAGGTTGAACATTAAAAGCTACTTTAAAATAAATGTACACTGAAACATGCCAATTCTGGATGAACATTTATAGACAGCCAACAGGAAAAAGTTCCAGCTTTAACAATGTTTATATAAAACCAAATGTCAGATTAACTGGGGAAACAGAGGTTAGAAAGAACTGCTCTGCAACACAGACTTTTTGTTTTGTGTCATCTAGTCCACACAGCAATGTGTGGACATTGTGAATGAGTTGCAGGCAGTTTTTGTGCTTGTGCAGCGTAGTTACAGATTATGCAAACTGGGTAAGCAATCCCTTACATCTGAAGTGGGGGATTAGATAAAAGTAGAGGAGAAATTAATTTAGGAAATGACAGATTTTATAGTCTACGTGTTCAAAATACAAAATAGGATCCTCTGAATACAGTTTCTTTGAGTAATATTAACTGTAATGGGGCACCAATGCCAGCATCAACTTTATTAGGTCTGACACAACTTGTTTCCTTAATCTTATCTCTGTGTTTATGCTAGTCAATGAACTTTAGCGTTATGGCTGAAGTTAACTGTGCTGTAAATCTTAAATATC